CAGCTAGATGGCTTGGAGCAGCGGAGGAGCTTCGGCACATGTTGGTGATTGTTTGTGGCCAGCTCCGGTGATTATGAGGGGTCTTGTACCTTCCCCAGCAGAGAGTCAAATGGTAACTCTAGTGGATTGCTCGTGTCATTGAGTTACCACACTTGTGGTTACGTTCTTGCGGTGTCTAATTGTGTGGACAAGGTTCATGCAACACCTCTTAGCCACCAAACTACCAAGTGTTGGTCGACACAACGGGGACTAGTGTGTCGGCAAGCACGTGAACCTCGGAGAAAAAATTTTGTCTCTTGTGTGATTGGATTTCTCCCGGTGATTGGATTGTCTACATCTTGTGATTGGTTCATTCCTCGACATGGTGGTATAATCATCTTACTCACTCTATTACTTTCCTACAAACTAGTTGTAGTAAGTCCTTTAGTGTAACTAGAATTGAGAGCTTGCTTTGTAGCTTAGTTTCATCTAGTGGAACTCTTTGGTGCAGCCTTGTTGAGAGCTCTTAGTGAGTAGTGACTTAGCCTCTTGTGTGCATAGAGATCATAGCAACTAGAATTATTGGGTAGGTGGCTTGCAACCCTTGTAGAGCTAGAGCAAGTTTGTATTTTGTCGTTTGTCATACTAATAAAATTGCTCTAGTGATTTTGTAGTTTTTTAAATAGGCTATTCACCCACCTCTAGCCATATTAGGACCTTTTAGTAACATTGATAGGGACCAAGAAGGATTTACAGAAATTAACATGAAGTCCACTCGAATCTGAGAAGCTTCTAAGCAGGCCCTTGAGATTGAACAGGTTGTTGGCTGAAGCTTGTAGAATTAGCAAGGTATCATCAACATATTGTATAATGGGGTAGTCCCCTCCAAAGTCTTCAGTTAGGGGATGCTTTAAGATACCCATTTGCCATGCTTTGTTAACAATACACTGTAGGAAGTCTGCAGCTAAGACAAAGAGAAGTGGAGAGAGTGGGTCTCCTTGCCTGACTCCCCTCTTGCAAGTAAAGGGCTCACCAGGGATTCCATTCAATAACAATGAAGAAGTTCCTAATTGGAGAAGATTTTTTTATCTAGTTAATCCATTTGGGAGTGAAACCTTTGTGCTCAAGAATCTGCAGGATGAGCTGGTATTCAATCTAGTCAAAAGTGAAAGTCCTATGTTTGGTTTTGGCAATTGAGACAACTAGTAGACTAACTCTACTCTAGTGTTGTGATTGAGATAGGTTAAGTCCACACCAAGGTTGAGCAAGAATGGCAGTAATGAAGATGATGAGAGGTGGCCACAAGTGATGATCAAGTGCTTAATTCTTGGAAAAGAAGAAAGAGTAAAACAAAATGCATAGGCTCAAGGCAAAGGTATAAGTTAGGGTATTTTGTTTTGTCGGTCAAGGCACAATAGAGTGACAACAAAACCTTGATTTGGTAGATGGTTTCTGAGGACTGAGTTGTTTCTTTGAGAATTTGGTGTTGATACTTTGCAAACACTTTCACAATCTTATTGAAAGGTGCCTACAAAATTTCATAAGATTGGATGTCGTTGGTTGAATTTTGCCTTTTTCTGGTTTGTTTCGGGCTGCTGTCCAGGCAAACTTGGCTAGGTCGACCTAGCATCTCGGCCGCCAGGCCGCCATAACATCCTGGCTAGGCCAGACTTCCCTGTTTGGGTACTACACAACCCGGCCAGACCGGCTGTGCATCCTGGCCAGGACGACTTTCTGCTGCTTTCTGCGACTTCGATTTTTCCTCTAGCTTTGCTTCCATTAGTTGCTCCGCTGTGTTCTCTGAGTTAGTTTGAGTTTATCTAGTCACCAGTTGGCTTGTGTGAACTCCGGTTGGTGTTTTTAGGTTTTTCAGTGCTTTGTGTTTGAATAGAGACATAGCTCAAGTTTCTCCCATTCACCTCCTCTGGTCGCATGCTTGGTCCTTCAGCTTCTCACGAGATCGGATGAGTTTCAAATAAAAACATGTTTTAGGATTCGGACTGCCAAAACCGGTTCAAGCCGGGGCATACCTGATGAGTAGGATAAGAGATTGAGGGCCTCGGGCCCAAGGCTAGCCCATTTAACTTTGCAGGTACGCAATTATGTTGCACTTTTGTTTGAATTTTTCAGAGTTATTAAATGCTCGAATCTTTTATATCGTCCCATTCTAATTATGTTGGATTGAAAGGTTTAGGGCCTGTTTGGCACAGCTCAGCTTCACTAGTGAAGCTGTTTTTTTGTATAATAGCTTTATGAGCAGCTCTCTAGATGAAGCTGAGTTATTTGAAAAAATTGTTTGCCAAAATAGCTTGTAGACCAAATAAATAAAATTACTATAATACCCTTATCTCTATTTTTCTTTTTTATTTTCTCGTCTTCTTCACGTACGCATCTACAATCTTCGCGATGCAACGCCGCGAGCCACGATGCAACGCCGCGAGCCACGACCTCGCGCCCGCACGCGCATGTCAGCCCCCCGGTAGTCTGCGGCTCCAGCAGCGGCACATATCCCGGTGGCCCATGCCCTCGACGACGTCCCTCCTGGCGGGCCACACTCCCTACGGCGGATCGTGCCCCCAACGGCGGCGCCTCTCCCGGCAGAGCGCGCTCCCATGGCGGCTCGTGCCCAGCCAAGCCATTCCCCTGGTGAGCTGCTCCCCAGCGGCCAAGCTCGCGGCGAGCCACGCCACCGGCAACTGCGCGCCCCAGCGGGCCAAGACCCGACGAGCCATGCCCCTGTCAATTCGCACTCTGGCAGCCGCGCCTCGACGAGCCGCGCTGCCGGTGGCTACACCCGGCAGTCGTGCCCCATCAGACCATACCTCGGCGGCGCCGGCACCTCCCTCGGCCGAGCATTCTCTCTCTCTCTCTTCTTGGCTGCTAGTCCAGCCCTGATGGGCCGCTCGCGCTTGCCCGCACACCAAGACGGCCGCGCTCGCGCTGGCTCGGTGCGGCGGCGGCGCCCGCCAGCTGCGACCTGGGCTCCCCGACGACCGTGCCTCGACTCTCTGGCGGCTATGCCCCAGCGCTCAGCGACCCCTAGCTAGCCACGACCCACTGACGACAGCACACCCTGGGCTCCTCGTCGGTGACGACCCTGCTTCTCGGTGGCCGCGCACCTACATCGGCATCCGTTCTCCTGCTCACCGGCGAGTCGTGCCCCGTCGCCTCCATCGTGCGTCTCTCTCTCTCTCTCTGCTAGGACAAAATGAGTCTGCTGTGTACTGTGGGGTCCACATATGAGAGATGATGCTAGAATAAGCTACAATTTTTAGCTTCATACTAACTCATGTCTTTGTGAAAGAAGGAGAAAAACAGCTTCATGAGTGAACCTGTTTTGGAAATAAGTTTTTGGCAAAAAAAACAGCTAACAGCTCATGAAGCTGTTATGAGCTGTGCTAAACAGGCCCTTGATCTGAATAAATTTTTCCTTCCTTCATCCAAAAGAAGTGTTTAATCTAAAAGGTCAAGCTCTGCCTATCTGAACAAACCTTTATACATTGGGTTATTTGGATTCATGTCATTATAATTTTGATGTTTGAAGAAACGCCATTACTATTCACCTATTTTGAAGCATGCCATTACAATTTTTCGTTTCCCACAAATATGCCACAGAATACGTATGGACATGGCCTGGGCCTAGCTGCAGGCGTATACGAAGACGTATACTTCATCGCAGCCTCTCTCTCCCCCATCACTGACATGCGGGCCCCACATGTCATCTTCTTCTTCCTTCCCTCCTCATCTTCCCTTGCTGAGCGCATCGATGGCGATGGCGAGAAGCAGCAGCAACACGCGGCCGAGCAGCAGCAGCAGCACGCGGGTGAGCGGAGCTCGTGGCCTGGGCAGCGTGCGGAGGACGCGGCGCACGGAGCTCGCGGCCAGCGCGGAGTGGGCGAACTGGGCGGCGCACGGCTCACAGAGGGTGAGTTGCTGCAGTGGGCGTCCGAGCGCGTGAGCGGGAGCAGGGGCGCCGGTGGCGAGGCGCGAGCGGCCGTGGGCCATGTCTGCCGGCGTCTGGGAGAGGCCTGGCCAGAGCTCCTGCTGGCCATGGCGTCGGTGCGGGAGGCCGGGATCGTGAGCACGAGGGAGAGCTGCTGCAGCGGGTGTCCGAGCTTGCGAGCGGGAGCAACGGCACCGACGGAGAGGCGCAAGCGGTCGCGGGCCATGGTTGCCGGCGTCGAGAGAGGCCTAGCCGGAGCTCCCTCCGGCCATGGCATCGCGGGAGGCCAGGCTGGCGAGCGAGCGCGCGAGCGGCTGCAACGAGCAGTCAGGCTCATGAGCAGGAGCGGCGGCGCCGGCAGCTAGCCGCTAGGGGCCACGGGCCATGGCGTCGGTGCGGGAGGCCGGGCTCGCGAGCGCGAGCGGCTGCTGCGGGCAGGTGGGCTCACGAGTAGGAGCGGCGCGCCGGCATTGAGGCGCGAGCCGCCCAGGCCGCGAGCTCCGCTCGGCCGCGTCCTGCTGCTGCTGCTCGGGCGTGTGCTGCTGCTGCTGCTCGCCATCGCCACGCTCAGCAAGGGAAGATGAGGAGAGGAGGAAGAAGAAGATGACATGTGGGGCCCACGTGGCAGTGACAGGGGAGAGAGGCTGCGATGAAGTATATGTCTTCGTATATGCCTGCAGCTAGGCACAGGTCGTGTCCATACGTATTATGTGGCATATTTGTGGGAAACGAAGAATTGTAATGGCATGCTTAAAAATAGGCGAATAGTAATGGCGTGTCTCCAAACATCGAAAATTATAATGTCATGAATCCAAATAAACCTTATACATTTGGGTATTATTAACATTGGTAAATAAAAACATACAAGTGAATACAGTATATACTAGTGTATTAGCAGCAGCAATGCTTGTGAAAAGAAAAACGAGACACTTAGCAATAATGATTAGTACATGCTTATTAGCGAAAACCCTTAAAAAGCACCTATAGCAATATTTTTAGTCATCATCATCATCCTACTGGACCAAGAAGACGCCTGAGCATTCAGATTCAGAGAAAAGGCTCTCACACGGTCACGGGCTCACGGCTCGGCCATGTCCTTGGCGAACTCGCCGTCCTGAGCACGGCCATCGACCACCACAGAGACGGGCACCTCGTCGGCGTTGCTCATGTCGTGCTGCTGGACCACGAGCACCGACGACGTCACCCCGTGGCCGGAGGACGCGAGCGCGTCGCCGATGGGCCCGAGCTCCGGGTGCTCTGCCGGGTGGACGGCGAGCTGCGCCACCATCGCGGACGGCAGCCGGCCCTTGCCGACGACGACCAGGCCGTACTCCCTGCTCTTCCCGATCGACACCACCTCCTCGATCACGTTGCCGACCACCACCCTCTCCTCGAACCGCACCAGGGACCCCATCCTCTGCCGGAACTCCGCCACCGCCGCCTCGTCCAGCTCCTGCACGCACCATTAATTGTTCATGCAACAACAAACAAAATGTCATCTTGATCGATCAGAACTTCAGAAGTGTGTTGTGATATATGGGATTGCACGTCACTGTAAGTTACCTTCTCCTTGCCGGCGTCGACGACGGCCGTGGAGAACGTGTAGCTCCGGTCGGCGTTCTTGGTGTGGGACGGGCGCAGCGTGACCTCGGACCGCTCCTCGCTGCCGGCCTTGCCGTCGACGAACCGCACGACGGTGACCTGCACGCCGGGGTGCTCGGCCATCCTCCCGGCAAGCTCGAGGGCCTCCCTGTCGTCTGGCCCGCCAAAGAACACGACGCAGACGCCGTGCGCCACCTGCTCCGAGCTGACCTGCTCGCCGCCGCCGAAGCCGCGGTCGACGAGGACGGCGACGGAGCAGGGCGCCTCGCGGAGGATCCGGCGGTTGACGGCGCGCCACTCGGGGCCGAGGTTCTCGACGTCGTCGCCGCCGTGGCCTGTTTGGCGCTTGTGGAACGGCAGGACGACGAGGGAGACGCGCTTGTCCTCGGCGACGGCGGCGACGTCGTCGTGCATGGTGTGGAGCGCGGACATGGACGTGGCCGAGCTGTGCGTACGTGTCGAAGGCCACGTCCACCTGGTCGTGCGGCTCCCCCGCGCGGCGCGGCCGCAGGAACGGCAGCCCGTTCTGGCGCGCGGCGCGCGCCATGAGGATGGAGGAGGTGCGCTCCGTCAGCTCCACCATGCGGAGGATGTAGAGCTTGACGAGGCGGCGCGGCTGCGTGTGGCCGCGGATGGTCTCGATCAGGTTGATCACCGCGGGCACGTCCTGCCCGCCGTGGATGCAGGCCAGCACGCGCAGCTCCATTGCGGCGCCAGCGCCGGCCGAGGCGGACGGTGAGGACGGCGCGGAGGGGTCAGGGCCCTGGAGCTTGCGGTGATGCAGACGCCTGCGGCCGGCGGCGCGCGCGGGCTTGTAGATGGCCATCACCGTGGGCGTGGTGATGAAGGTGGTCACCAGCGCCATGAGCACCAGGATGGCGAACGTCTCCTCGTTCAGAACCTGCAGACCGCATCCATGACCACTAGAGATCAGATCACATTGCAGTACATGTTGGAAAACACTTGTGCGGAAATTTTTGACGGAATTCTTCTCACAATCTCGCTCAGTTGCTCTCATGCTCAGTTGCGCTCAGTTGGAAATCTAAGCCCAAGCCCGACCCAGCAAATGCATTGGGCTTCCGTGGCGAGGACCGAGGCTTCTACTGTCTATACTTTTCTTTCAACTCTTGTTCTTTTTCCTCTATTTTTCTTCTACTTCTTCTATTTTCTTCCCTTCTCTTTGTTTAGCCATGCATAAAAAATGTTGATAGAGGAAGGGGCTTCATTGTCCATGTCGGGTAGGGGGCTTATATATGCCCCCCATCCACCATGCTAGTTCTGCCCCTAGGATCGCAAGAGAGTAATGCAAATGCAATGCATGATACCAAACCGAAAATAGCCACCAAGGTCGGAAAAAGCTATATATATTGCTATGGCCAATGTTACACTAAGATCGAGTTTTTTAGCTCTAGCCATGAACAAACAGGCTACAGCCATAATTGCACATGAGGCGATCTATGAGACAAGGGAATATGCTGACTCTTATTTTATAGAGACAATACACATGCATGTTGAAGTTTGTATGAATGAACGACGGTGTGGACGGGCAGACTAGAGTTTTTCTGTTGGGCGTGTGGGTGTGGTCTTAAGGTTTTCTGTGTTGGAGAACGTAGGACAATTTGATTTGGGACGAGGTGCTAGGTCTATTTGGGCTTCATAAGAGCTAACCATGAATCGAGTGTGTTGTCGAGTTTTGGTGTTTGTTTTTTTTTTTTTTTCCAGCTCTAACCTATAGTGTGTGCTACACTGAACTTGAACTGGGCAACAATGGTATGGTACGGAGTAGTATATTACTACAAAGTGACAAAAAAATCATCATCCCTGCCACTGTAATAACTATCTATATATATCCCACTAGCCATCCGATCGAGTCTCCACCGTACCACCTCATGTGCCATCCGACTCGATCTAACCTCATGTATTGTCAGGGCTACCTCAACACTGTCGTATAACTTCTTCTAGGAAGAGAGGACATTGGGAAGCAAGTGCTTGCATTGCACTACCTCTGTTTCATCTATTGTGTATTAGGAATTTAAAAAGTCTAGAGGTATGCTTTGACTACTGATTTTTTTACAGAAATGCTATACAACACACATATGTTTTAGGAGAAAAAAACACATGGATTTTCTCTCTCTTTTTTCATGATCACCATCTCTCTAGGTCTTCGTACCTCGTTCGGTCTAAACTAAATAAATGTTGTATATTCGGCGCTAACACCACCGTACTAGCCAGCCGAGCATGGTTTGAAATTAATCATGGTATTCATACCTACTTGTACATCTTGCAAATAAATTGATCCGACCAAGATATTGGAGTTCATGCCCATCTCGCTATCCTTCCTCCTATGTTTTCACACCGTGATCTCGGTTCGCGTCAATATTTTTGAAGAAGGACGTTCGTTGGCGGCTCCTTAACGTCTTTGATTTCGTCTTCGGCGTCGCACAGATGGCGCTATACACACACGACGGATCCGGCTTCAGGTATGTCTTGCTCTACGATTTGTGATTTGTCCTTTCATAGAAAAAAAATTGTTTCTTGTGATCTTGTGATCTATGGATCTGTGATCTTATGATTTGTGGTTGTCTGGAGATAGAAGAAGGCTGGAGGTAGAAGAAGAATGAAGGCTGTTGGATCTTAATTCTATGGTGAAAAAATTCATATGTTAAAACTATATAAAACACATAGTTGTTGGGTAGACGGACTAAGTTATTGCCACGCCAAAAGATATTCAGAACATTAATGTTTTTCATACAATCTCTCTGTAAACTTCGTACCCGTTCCGTCCTAAACTAAATAAATACATATTGCGCTTCGTTTGACTAGCTATATAAAAATAATATTCATATTTATATATCTAAATAAGTTTATTATAAAAATATATTCCATGATCAATATGATGATAGTGATGTTTTTTACACATCACAAATATTAGTATTTTTTAAATATACATATTTGGTTAAACTTAAAAAGATTTGATTTCTCGATAAATAAGATGTGTATTTGTTTTAGGATGAAGGGGTACTTGTAAATTTTGACCATTTTTTTTTGAAAGCTGTAAATATTGATCAAAATCTGTCGAGGTTTGATCTTTCGAAATCCTAAAGAGGCATACTAGAAATGGACGGGTAGCGTAATAATCAAGCGGACAAAAAGCAAAATGAAAATGAAAAAAAGAGAAGGTGAAGACCACCCGGCGATACTCATGGTAGCTCCTGCTCATTCTACCAGGTGCATCCCACTTTCCAACGCACCGCACAGACCGGCCTGACATGACATACTAGCTACACTAGCAGCCAGGGTCGTGTTTAAATCCAGGCCGTAAAGATTTTTTTTTCACATCGAAGTGTCGTATAGAGGTGTCTATAAAAAATAAATTATAGGATCATCAGTAATCCGCAAGACGAATTTATTAAGCCTCATTAATCTATCATTATCGTATGTGTTACTGTAGCACCACTTTGTCAAATCAGGAACTAATTAGGCTTAAAAGATTCATCTCGCAAATTAGTCATAAATTATACAATTAATTATTTTTTAATCTATATTTAATACTCCATGCCAAATATTTAATGGGACATGAAGTAAACTTTTAATGGAACTAAACAAGGTATAAGAGAAGAAGAGATTCACCCAGTGACGTCCCTGTGATGGCCTAGAAGAAACCTAGGTTAGCTGTGGCGTGCGGCACTACTACTAGCAAGTTCCTGGCCAACACTGGGATGACGATGACACGCGACCATGCATGCATATGATCCAGCTCCAGCACATGCACATCACCAACGGGAACCAGGTGACCTCTGCTTTACTTTGTCCTCACTCACATCACATGACTCCTCAGCCTCTCTTTTGACTTCATTCATGCATGCGCTCCACAGTGTCAAGGCACGGCAAAGTTCTCTTTCTTTTCTTTTAAAAAAATAACAAATAGAAGAAGAAGAAGAAGAGGCAACAAAAAAAAAACTACTCCTATGCAAGAAAATAAAGCATTGCACCAAACTGGGAAAAAAAACTGAAACGTGTTTGTACGTAGGAGTAGGGAACAGACACATACCTTGCGCTCCCTGCCGATGTTGAGCACGATGAGCTCGACGAGTCCCTTGGTGTTCATGACGACGCCGAGCACGAGCGCCTCCCGCGCCCCCATCCCGCACGCCATGGCCACCCCGAACGTGCCCGCGATCTTGCCCGCGCAGGCGGTGGCGATGACGAGCGCGAGCATGGCCCAGGCCTCGCCGCCCCGGATGGTGGCCACGTCCGTCTTGAGCCCGCTGGAGGCGAAGTAGAGCGGCAGCAGGAGCTCCGACACCAGGTCCTCCACGCGAGCCGTCACCCGCGCCGCGAACCCGCCCTCCTTGGGCACCGTCAGCCCGAACACGAAGGCGCCGAAGATGGCGTGGATCCCGATCACGTCCGTCGCCAACCCGGACGCCAGCACCCCCGCCAGCGTCACCGCTACCCACGCCTCGCCGCCGCCGCCGTCTCCGGACGCGTCCGCGCGCCGCGCCACCCACGCCATCGCTGGCTTCACCGCCACCATCCACGCCGCCACGAACGCCGCGCCGCACAGCAGCACCCACAGCGACACGATCGGGCTGCGGTGGTCGCCGGACCCGGACCCGGAGATGGCGACGGCCAGCGCGAGGAGCACCCAGGCAGCGACGTCGTTGAAGGCGGCGGCGGCGAGCGCGGTCTCCCCGATCGGGGTGGTGAGGAGCTTGAGTTCCGCCAGGATACGCGCCATGACGGGGAACGCGGTGATGGAGAGCGCGACGCCCATGAAGACGAGGAACGGCGCGTACCCGGCCTGGTCGGCGCCCGGGATGGCTGCGCGGAGCACGAAGGCGACGCCGACTCCGCACGCGAACGGGAGCGAGATCCCCGCGGCAGCGATGGCGAAGGCGCGCCGCCCGCTGCGGCGGACCGACCGGAGGTCCAGCTCCAGCCCCACCAGGAAGAGGAAGAAGAGGAGGCCGAGGCTGGCCACGGACTCCAGCACGGGCGTGCTCCACGGCGGGAACAGCGCGCGGAGGTAGGCGGCGTTGCGGCCTAGAGCGGAGGGGCCTAGCAGGATCCCCGCCACGATCTCCGCGATCACCTTGGGTTGACGGAGGGGGCGGAGCAGGAACGCCAGGAAGCGGCTCAGCACCAGGATCAGCAGCGCCTGCAGGATGAGAAGCGGGAACGCGAAGTGGAGTGGGTCGTCGCCCTGCCACACCCCGTTCGACGACGTCTTCACGGCCGCCATCTCCGCAGCGGACACCGGCGACGACATGTTGTCCGGCGCGCGCGCGGGCGCGGAGGCGAGAGCGAAGATGACGATCGAGTGGTGGTTCAAACACACGAGGTGGGAGTGGGATCGCCGGCTACCTCAGCTCAGCTCAGCACAGCTCCTTGGATTTGGCAACTTGTAGGCACTGCGACGACGAGCGACCTATGGCAGGGCAGGGCAGCACGGGGGTCCCGTGATTCCATGCCCATTGGTGCGTGCTGTGTTTCGCTTGGGAGTTGAGACTGAGACTCGAGAGCGAGAGACGGATCGGACTCTCTGTGCTTGCATGTGAACTGATGCGTGGTTGACGGGTCACTGACACGTGGGCCTCCAGATCGCTCACTAGGACTCATGTTGGGAAAGGGCTCAATGCCTCAATCGGTAAGTCGCGACCGGACAATCGATGCTTTAACCGATGCACACATTCATTCGAGAATTTTCAGCTTCCACATATCTTGCTCGTCCATCTTCCTCGTATTTTGCCGGCCGGTGCTATTGCCTGCCCAAGCGGCCCATTTGGTAGAGCTCTACTTGACCTCGGCTTTAGTTAAGTACAAGCATCTCTAGGAGTTAAACACCTTCTTATATTGATTTTTTTAGCAGAAAATAAAAAAAAAGTCCTCTCCAGTAGCTTGGTAAAAGTACTCCTTAAAAATAAAAAATTGACAAATATTCTCTCTAACTCGTAAGTTTCCGTAATTGAAAGGAACTCCATACCCCATTCCCCACTGGCATTTTTCTCGCAGGATCAGAGTAAATTGGATGCATGAGTAAATTTTTTAAAAAATGGTTACAAGTGAGAAGATGGTAAGAGACAAAAAAAACTATTAAAAGAGGCTTGAATGATTAGTTAGAAATAGTTCAGGTTTCCCAATACAAAATCGTTTAGGACACTAGCTAATACATGAAACTATTGGAGAGGGAAATAAGTTAAGGGTTGCTACTTATTTTGTTAACTTGCTAAATGACGTATTGGTTTAGCAAGTTAATTATAGAAAACACCTGGAATTGCTCTAAAAAGTCTTTTTTTCCTCATCATTCTCAAAATAAACTAAGAGCCAGTAAAACCAATTTTAGCTTCACCAGCTCTAGCTCCTCTAGGTATTGTAGCAAGGAGCCCAAGGCATTTAAAGCCATGCTAAATAGGATCTCACTCTCTCTCTCTTGAAATACATATGTATGGTGTCTCATGTCCTTGCTATATATTGCGCGAAAGAGTTAAATACGGTGAAATAAAAGATGCTTTTATCGGTACCTAATTCATTTTAAGTGAAAATATACAAACAATTTCTTGTTACAATACACGGAGGAGCCAGAATTGACCGGAGCCATGGTGTGTTATGATTCAAAAGAAAAAAGTACGACATGTCTAGTGCCGATTAAATAGAATATATGTCCATTGCCCTGTTAGTTGCGCTAAAATCTGGTTGTTGCTGATGGTGATTTGTTGTCAGAGAAAAACATTGTTCTTTCGCTAAAAAGCACCGCTGAAGTAGTGCTGAAAAACAGCATCATTATCTCTTACTGTAAAAAGAAGAAGAAGAATATATGCCCATTGTTTTGGAGAGTTGTTTATCAAGGTAAAACTTGTAGGCGTTCGAAAGGTTCATGTGACGTGAGCAAATGGTACGCTTGGTTCTCTTGCTCAGCTGGCCTCGCATTGCTCGTGTCCAATTTAACTTTGCAACGCCGCAGCTCCGACCTCGTGCACCTTTCGAATCTCAGCATAGTCAAAGGCTATACCATGAACCGGACACGTGGCACACTACCGGTAGCTCTGCAGGCTGTCCCCGTTTGCTCTTTCTCGTGTTGCCACGGAGCACTGCCGTGCGCGTAGGGGATTGTTTTGTTTCGAACCAGGCAAGCTAAGCTCGTCTGGAAACTTGGCCTAGGCATCCATCCTTTATTCTAAAAATTTGGGATTAATATCTGTAAGCGAAGTTGCCGACAGGCTCTGACCAAAATAGAGAGCTACTACTAGTTAGCTTTGGCGTGCAATTCTTTTTCCTAAATCAATCGAGCAAATCATACATGCTACTGAGGGCACCCGCAACAGTAAAATTCCACTACTAGCTCTAAGCCAACCTCTTCAATAATGTTAGCTTTTAGCAATGGCTCATAATATGATTAGGCTCACATGACACTCTCACAAGTTACTGGAACGTATGTATGAGCCTAGCTCTCGATCAAGAGCCAGCATTTTTATCTCTTCTATTAAAATATGAAGAAAAATGTTTAGAGCTAGCTTATTAGCTACCCATTACGGATGCCCTAACTAGCTCTAACAGATGCACCTATCTGGCTCATAATGCTGTATACACTATTTAAAGCTCAGAGCAAGGCGAATAATACAAATACAACCTTCAGCCGATTATATACAATCCACTCGTATAGTAGTTGTCTCAGTTAGGACCCACTCTTCTCTCTTTGCTCTTCCAAAGATTTTTTTATGTTCACGTGCATAACCTAGTTGTAAGCTTATACCATGTTTCTCTTTTCTCTCATACACTTCAACAATTCAGTCCACCTATTAGTCTTCTATTATTCTTGCTCTTAGATGCTTAGAGCCAAGGACAGTATATAGAGGACAATGTTGTTAACGCATCGCGTGTTTAATAATATTTCGATGCTTCGTCTAGACTCTGATGCATCCTTGTTCCATTGTAAGGGTGGCCAGTTGGCGGCTATGTAAGAACAAGAAGAGGGTCACGAAGCAGAAATTCAAGCTCCCAACGTCCAGATGAAAAAGTCAGGTATGCTCGTTGAAAGTTGCGAGCTTTGACACCTTGGCATTCAATAATTACGAGCAAACCTTGTCATCGCCACTTTCGCCGCCAAGCGGGAGACATTGCGGAGCCATTCCCTAGGCATGGTCGAGGGTGTCCGAGGGAGGTGAGCTCGCTGATAGGGTGAATTAGGATAGCTTTATTTAACGATAATGATATAAGTGTGGCGTCCGACCCGTGACTTTCACCTCCGGATGTGGCTCGCGCTCATCCACTTCCTCACGTGATTCCCCGTCCCCACTACGTCGCTCAGCCCGGCTTATTCTCATCCACTACATCGCTCAGCCCGCTCCATGCTTTGCGCCCCCGCTCGGGTAGCAACGAGACGCTCGCCGCCGCTCCCTCCCGAGCCTCTCGCCGGCGCCGCCCCCACCAGAAGCCGCGCCTCCCCGCCCAAGCCATGCGCCCTTGCTCACGGTAGCAATGAGCGCTCACCGGTGCCGCCCCCGCCTAGGCCGCTCGCCGGCGCACCCCTCCCGAGCTGCTCACCGGCGCCGCCCCCGACCGAGCCGCTCCTTCCCTGACCCCGGCGTCCTCCTCCGCGGCGGGTCCTTCCCGCACCCCGGCGTCCTCCTCCCCTACCCCGGCGGTGCCCCTCCCCCCACACCGGCGTCCTCCCCCAAAAGGAGCTCCCGACGTCTGCAGATCCGGTGGCCATGGCGCTCCCCGTGCCAGGCTCTCTTCTCTCCCCCCATGTTTCAACTGTATCTTTTAATTGTTTCAGAGGCTTCAGAGGTACGTTACAGTTGAATAATATGGTTGTTGCAAAAGTAGATCGGGGATGTTGCACTTTGTTGATATGTTGCAAGTGTTTCAAGTGATTGTTGCAAGCACTTTGTTCAAAATGTTTCAGTTGTTTCTAGACGATGTTGCAATCGTTCTGATCTGGATGTTTCATATGCTTCGCACAAATGTTGCAATAATACTTTCGAAATGTTTCAGTTGCTTCAGTTTCATGTTGTAGCAGTTGTTCCAATGTTGTTGCAAGTGTTTTTATTCGAGCGTTGTTTCATATGCTTCTCACCAATGTTGCAATAATATATTCCAAATGTTTCAACTCCTTCAACCTAATGTTTCAGCAATTGTTCCGTGTTGTTGCAAGCGTTCTATTTGAGTTGTTTATGATGTTCGGTCTGGGAGGGGCGAGCCAGGCGGACGGGGGCGCATGGCTCGTCGGGGTCCAAGCGGACGGAGGGCAGCAGGGACGATGACTTTGCTGCCAGCTGGGGCGCTTTCGTCATGCGATACATGGGCGAAACGCGCTTGTTGTGGGCGCTTGCTTGAATCTGGGCGGGGCGCTACTGGGTCATCTTGTCTGGGTTGGGGTCGGGAAGCGGGCGCGGGTTGAGCGGTTTGAGGGGTGTTCGGATGCCCCTGGTGCGCCGGACGTCCAGGTACTAGATCTACTGTTATTTAAAAACTCGATTCATGGTGGCTAGACAGCCCCCGGTATTCCGGCTTAAGAAGAAGATCTTCTCACGTAGATCGACAAAACCCCCGAATCCCTGCCCCACCCATACACAGTGGCACCGGAGATGAGCTGGCCAGACCTGTGCTTTGGATGTGTGGCAGACGAAAGAGTTTTCCCCCCCTTGGTCACTGCGGCCGAAGCCACAAATAAAGAGTGAGTTCCTTGGGACTCGAACTCTGACCACAAATAAGGATAGCTTTATTTATGATTTGGTCGAAAAGCTTATGTGTATAATTGTATACAAGTAAAATATGTTGTCTCGTGGTCATGCAACGTTCGGCTTCTCTGTTGTACAATGTGTTGTATAACAAACTGTAAACACAAAAATGTGGCGATGTAATCAACACACAGCAAGTCGGATGATCTTGACAGAGTGAACCCGAAGATCTGCTTAGCTTCAACACAAGAACGGTCGGTTTCGGGACCAAAGGCGTACCAGTCAATTTGACCTTGCAATTGACAAGGAGAGAATAATCAGTAGTTTAAGGTGGGATATGTCGATGTTGCACCAGACAGTTCCAATATATGGCCTAATAGCGGATTGATATGGCCATCGACTATAGAGTCGACATCCAGCAATAAAGCAATATAAGAAAACATCATCGGCTAAATAGAACATGATCAGTATAAAACGTTGAGCCGATAAGTTTGATAAAAAAGTATAACACGCGAACAATTGACTATTTACCATAAATGAATCCATAAACAATCTGAATCTAATATATTATCATCCACAGTGAGGTTCG